ACACACACACACTCGCGAGGTCGCCTTCACCCACCGCAGCTCGACGCTGCGCCAGAGGCGCTAAGACGCGGGCACAGACTGGAGATTCAATGAATGAATGGAAAAATGAATCAGTACGTCATTTAACATGTCAATATCTATTTATGATTCTTTGCGTTAGGTTTACCAATAATAGAAATGCCTTTTTATGTTATCTTGTGTTGGAAATAAAAATGAAGGTATTTCTACGTGGGCTATTATCTTTTTTTTTCATTTAGTATTGCTTAGACCAGTTATATCCCTACTCAATATCTGTCCCTAAATTCGGTTCTATTTCGGCAAGTGCTTTAAAACAAAGTAGAATGAACTTAGAAGTCTTTGATTACTGTTTCCAACGAGGGTGAACTTGAGAATACAATTTATTAGCGCCATCATCCCACGAACACGTGGAAAGTTCGCTAAGAAAACAGTGTCGATGTCTTCTAAAACAGTGATGTCTCCTAGACTTGCAATGACTTCATAACGAGAAAAAAATTCTTATCATTGCTAAACAAACTTTTTCTGCTGCCACGATATGAATAAAAACAATGAACTCTTGGAGTACGAATATTAGTGTATTTATCAAAATATTACTCCCAAATACATAATTGGATAAAATCAGATGATTTTAGTATAGTTTTCAAATTTCTGAAACAATGTTTAATTAGGTAAATTCTTGACTTTCTGTAAGCGATCTCATGATCAAGACTAAGACATCGCTAATAAATAAAATAAATACGTATATGAAGACAGTGACTTTATTTACACATCTCATCAGCAGATCGATTTCTGATGTATTTCCTATACCATCTCCACTTAACAAGGCCCAGAATGACTTTCAAGGGTACCCGGAAATATCCTGAAAGTTTACTTACAGATACGTATTTTAGGCGCAGCCTTTTTTAACTCCCCTTCTGAAGCATTGGGACTCGAAGAAGACGAATCAAAACGAAGAGAAGTCTGTTTTGGAACGTGTTTGTAGTTTCTGCCGTCTGCGACCTGTTCCAAAGGACCCCTGGATTTACCGGAACACCATCTGGTGATTTTCGTCTGTGACAGTGGCATTAAGCAGTTATGTGACTCACTCGGTGGTGTATTTACTTCCTTGCAGTGCCTGAGTTAGCGAACACAGTAAACTCGCGTGGCATTAAAAGAACCACAACATGGGCCAGTCGAAACAACAGAGATCACTAGTTTATTCTGTTCTCGTCTCCTCTCAGAGGTAAAGTTCCTACCCCTAGAGTATGTTTAAAAACAAGGAACTAGTATAGAATTTTCAATATGCGTCGTAAATTGCAACCTTTCGAACATCTGAATTTTACCCCACTTTAAGTGATCCTTGCTTGTGTAAACAATTTCAATTCACTCTACATTGTATAGTTTCCATATGGGAAGGGAACTTCAGATTAGGTTGTTTTTTTGTTTTTTTTTAGATAATTCAAATACCTATTCTGGGTCAATGTGTCTGTTCTTTAGAGAGTTTTCATCAATGTCATTACATGGTCATTTTCACAGAATTTTACACCAACTACACAATAAATTAAAACTAAGACCTAATATATTGTGTAATCATGGCTGATCTGTTACCGCCAGTCCTTTATTTAATTATAATTATAATGAGTCGAAAAGGGATTGAATATTTTTTATCAGAAAACTATTCCCCCCTCTCCAACCTCTACAAACTTGTTCCCCCTCCAAGTAATCTACTCCGTACACCACGAGATCGGAGAACGAAGTATTTTGGCACAAAATGGTGAGTTGCGCAGACCCAAAGCTGAGTTATGTTAATCACGGAGGCCGAATAGCCTCATCGCCAACTTGGACATGCCTAGCGATGCGTCAACTGTGTCTTAAACGCGTTGTAGCTAAGAGCCCATGCATACGAGCGTTGCGTTGACGCGCGTCGTTGAATAACACTACCCTATGCAAAACTGCACCCGAGTGTTTTCACCGTTCCAGGTAAGATACAATGTTATTCTATGACGCGCGTTACTTATCGTCGACGCAACGCTCGTGTGACACAGGTCTAGAAGTCGCCACTTCGTTTTCTTGTTGTAGCGAGTCGATTCCGTCATGTGGGGCACGATAAGAGCTCTCGTTTTAAAAACCTTAGTTGTATTTGCGAAGTAGTAATAAAGAGTGCTTGAAATTCACCTAAAAAAGTAATATTTTAGATAACCAACTAAATCACCTGGCGTTTTCATACGAATGTTTTACTTTACTCGTATTTTCCGTGGCTCACTCTTGGTTCACTTCTTCGGAATTTATCAGTTAGAAATGATTTTGGGATTATTTTCTTTAATGAGTTTCTCAATTCTTCCAATATTTTTCTTTCGATGGATTTCACCAGGTCATTAGAAAACGCTCTGACGCTTGGACAAAGTAGCGGCACAAGTAACAGTATTTAGATCGCATGCAGTCGGAGGCCAAAATTTCGTTCCGACCGTTATGTAATATTTTAAGACAGAAGTGTGAAATATTTCACTTTCTTTCTTTTTTTTTTTTTTGCATTTTCCGATAACTTCATTGTGGATGTACATAATTTAGGGAAAACTAACTTATAATTCATTCTATGAACAAGACAAACGCGTTTCACAAAATGAAAGAACTAGACAAATGTCTAATAATTTCCTCTGAAGAAACTGTTTCAACATTATTATTATTTAGAGGTAAATTATAAAAATGAGGAGCAAATAATGACAACTATACACCATACGTTTCAATAAACAGATCATCAATAATACGTATCTTCTGGAGAGGTATTCATGTAAGAAAAAGCGAAGAACAACTGGAAGGCGAACAAAAAAGCGAAGGATAACATAGCCTCTATTACACTGAGGCTTACGAACTAATGTAATGAATTTTACAATTTTTATTTGTTTTGAAAATTTGGTAATAGTAGCCAGTAAAACGCTAATAAAATATTAATTGAGACTGAAAATACGAAGAATATTATAAATATTTGATATTAATATATCAATTAAAATTCATGAACATAGAATAAAACATTGGATGATAAATTAATAGTGCACATAAAAATAAAATGTAGTGATATTCGATGATAACATGCAAATAAAGAATAAACATAAATAATATATTTGTATGCTTTAATGTAATTACAAAATTGCAGCGTATCACATTCGTTTGGTGACCTATTCTTACAGGTTTAGACCTCAATGTCATGGCGCCCTGCGTGCTCCAATTATTATTTTCTTACGTGAAAGCTTGCCAATGTATACTGAATAGAAAACATTAAATAAACACGATCGCAAATTATTGTTTCTACACCTCTCGTCTCCTCCTGTAACAACTCATATCTCCCCCTATCGAGACAGGATTTCGTTCCGATCCCATCCCCCATTGCCGAGTTAACTACTAGCAACGCAATTAAACAAATAGTTGAAATTTTGTATCATCTATACGTAAGTACAATTTTTCAAATTAAAAAAAATATATATTTCTAATTCAATTCCACATTAATTTATAGTTTTCTGTTGTTAATAAACAAATATTACAAATTTAACATGAAAATGTTCATTTTCAACAACCCCCTCAAATAAAGGCGTACATATTTTCATTGTGACTTAATGGTTTAATTGCAGTGTACAATACAAAGGTGACTTAACAAATGTGCAAGAAAAGCATTAAGAAATAAAATAAAATATTCATTGAATTCATTTACGGTACTAAAATGATTTTGCATTGCTATCAACTTGCATATTTTATTTTATTAACTATTTGAATATAAAAATTTAAGATTTTTTTATAAATCTTTCTAGCGACGATAGATACTACTTTTTTCTATTAGAAAAGCAGACTGAACTCCTTATATCTAACTTCTTTAGGAGAAAATTTCCTATAACGTTGTGATTACCGAAGTTCCATTGGTTTACCATTCAACCAATACACGTTTATACAGTTTTTTTTAAATTAGTAATTTATCTAGTTCCTTCTCCAGAGTTCGTGTCTGCATCGTCCGCTGCCTCTAAAAGTCGTAATGTCTTCACACCATTCAACGCCTCTGGCACTGTTGGAACACCGCCCCACTCTCCGAAGGCCCTTTCCTCTCCTGATAGCATACGAGAGAGATGCTTTCGGGAGCGGCACGGCGCACGCGGCTAATGAAACTCATCGCTGAACGAAACATTCCGGCTCCCCTCCCTTCACTTCGGGGACATTTCTTGGAGTATGACCTTTGGCCGACGATACTTTTTTCCAAGCTGTGTAGAGTTGGGATTTGTGGCACTAAGGGGACATATACTTTTTTTCAGGAGGGAATTAACTTCCAGGAGTACTCCCTACGTTCACTACATCAGAGGTTCAGAGTTCACTATAGCCGAATCTGCTAGTGCTTATTTATGGCGTAAGTGAAATGTTCACTATAACCGAGAGTTCAGTATATCCGAGTTCACTATAACCGGAGTCGACTGAAGTATTAAATTAAATTACAAAATAATATAATATTTTGCAGATTTTTTATAACTGACTAATAATTATTTTTAATCGTGTACATTTTCAAAAAGGAGCACGGCCCTCCCCGTAGCCGCCCTTGAGGCGCCCACCTGTCAAGTAGAGCAGAGCAGAGCATCGCTATTCGGAAATCCTGACGAGGCGGAAGGATCCTCCCCACCCCCACCGCCCAGTGTCGTGTCGTGTCGTGTCGTGTCGCAGCATAGCATACCTCTGGTCGCAGGTTCTCCCCCGGGTGACGAGCACCGCCGCCCGCCCGCACGTGCGCGCGCGCGGGGAACCCGCTTCCGCACCAGGAGTCCACCGCGCGGCCAGCGGCCGCCTTGCGCAAAGCCGTCAGCGGCGGCGAGCGGGAGGGAGGGAGAGAGGGAGGGAGAAGGAGAGGGGGGCTGAGCGTGACGGAGGCTGAGGCGGGGTGGGGACACCGGCCCTCGCGAGCGCGCCGCATATAAGCAACCGCTTTTGCCCTCCGCACCACAAATCGAGAGCTACCGCCGACGGTCGCGTGTGCATAGCAAGTAGGCAGAGGAGACGCGAAGGACAAGAAGACTCCGCCACTCGCCGTCTACAAGCATCGCCCCAGCCGCCCCAGCCGCGGCCCTTCGACAGATACACACACAGTTCACGTACGGATTACATCTGGCGTTCGCTCGGCGCCGGCCGTGACAAGCACCAGCAGCAACTTTGACGTTTCGGGTGAGTGAGTGGGAAAACGCTATTGCGACGAACCCATTAGATTTTTTTCCTTTTTGTTTTTCTGAACTAGTTGAATTTCCCGTTCGCACTCGCAGTGATTTTGCTTTTTGTTTTTGGAAGCGTAGAAAATTCTGTCTAAACTTCTCTGTAACTTCTCGTAACCCATTATTTTTTTTTTTTTTCAATTAATGTTTGATAGTACTTTGAAGCTTCACTTGAATCCCAGAAAACTCGGCACAACTTGAATATGTGCAAGAATGAGCAGTGCGCTATCTTTAAAACGCAATAGCCGAAATGTTCGTCTAAATACCTTTAATGTGATTTCGCTAAAGCAGTGTGCTACTACTTCAATTTTTTACTACATTGTAGAATGCACATTTGACATAATATTAAACTGTTTACTTTAAGTTTACTCCTTCACTTTCATGAAATACTTTTTCAGTACAAGCATATTAAACGCTTAAGACTGAATTGTCTAACTAGCGATATTTTTGACTTTTATTACTTCGACATTCTGGCACGCTTTTGAAATTCCTTAAGGGTCGAAAGCTTTGTTGCATAACCTTCTTAACGCCGTGGATCTTACAATTCATTCCGAAACATAAAAATTCATAACTTTACCGCGGGGATAAGTTGACGCTGACATTATCGTGTCTTACCTCACTACTTAGCAGGGGCCGCTAAATCACGCTCGCAAATTCTGCAGACTGCTTCTGCGCCACGCGCCCGCCTAACCAAGGCCAAACCTGTTTATTTTACACTTGTGCCCGCCACTGTACATCGGTCGGAATGTTAAACACCCATCGAACGTTTAATAGCTAAAAGTTTTCGTGAGTCTTCGAAGTGCAAACTTCAGCGTTCAAAGAGCAGACTCTGTCACTCTTGAAATGTGGACGGCAAAATTCTTAATTTCGGAAATCCGTCGTGTGGAAATAGAAAATAAATTGGGGAAAATGTGGGGAAATTGGTTGTGTGGAAGTCTTTTAAAATTGATAATCTCGGACGTATCCCTCAAATTATTACTTGCAACAAAATATTCTCTCGGAACTTGTTGTAGTTCACTCTTTTCAATATAAATTAAACGATTGGTGTTCAAATCAAAGTTGCTTTAATACCTTCATTTCTTTGCAGGTTTTTTTGCTCTTTACCACCACCCACACCCGCAATGGACAGCGCCGAGTTCCGCGTGAAGGGCAAGGAGATGGTGGACTACATCTGCGACTACCTGGACGGGCTGGGCTCGCGCCGCGTCACGCCCAACGTGGAGCCGGGCTACCTGCGCCGCCTGCTGCCCGGGGAGGCGCCACAGCAGCCCGAGGAGTGGGACTCCATCATGCGCGACGTGGACGACAAGATCATGCCCGGCGTCACCCACTGGCAGCACCCGCGCTTCAACGCCTACTTCCCCTCCGGCAACTCCTTCCCCTCCATCCTCGGGGACATGCTGTCCGACGCCATTGGTTGCATCGGATTCTCATGGGTGAGTGTTCACAATATGTGTACAACAAAAAATTTTGCATTTAGTACAAATAATTAACTGTTGGGACAGTGTTAGATTAATGTCAATGTTGGTCATTTTAGGCTGCCAGTCCCGCATGCAGCGAGCTGGAGAACATCGTCATGGACTGGTTCGGCAGAGCCATCGGCCTTCCTGAAGAGTTTCTGAGCAGCGGCAAGAACAGCAAAGGCGGCGGAGCTATTGAAGTGAGTATCATATAAAAATACCATTTTTAACTGTTCCCAAAGGCCCAATTCCCACCTTTGTTACGTATAAAAACTGGTTTTCGTACTTTCAAAGTATTGCTGGGCGAACAACTAGTCCAAATCTTTAAATTACTATTTTTTTCCCTAAAACTTCAAATGGTTCCCTGCTAGTCTAACTACATCAGATATTTTATGAAACGGCTTTCTTATGCTAACGGTACTCTTTCAGGCGTCCGCGAGCGACTGCATCCTCGTGTCCATGCTGGCCGCTCGGGCCCAGGTGATCCGCTACCTCAAAGAGGACCAACCCGACGTGGAGGACAGCGTCTTCCTGCCGAAACTGGTCGCGTACTGCTCTCGAGAGGCGCACTCGTGCGTGGAGAAGGCTGCCATGATCTGCATGGTGAAGCTGCGCGTTCTCGACCCCGACGACAAGTGCAGCCTGCGAGGCGCCACCCTCAGAAAGGTACATATTCAAAGAAAAATAAAAATAAAAAAAATGCTTCGATTAGTAACGTAAGGTTTGACTTAACAAAAAAGATTCGTGCATACTAACCGTGAATTGCTCAAATACCTTTTAAATATTAAAGATTTTAAATATCAAGAAATGGTTACTTTATAATTGTAATGCTAGATCTTCATTTCTAACTTCGTTATTACTTGATTTGAGATTTTTAAACCGTCACGTGGATTCGTATTTACGTCTTCGTAAAGCGACTCGTTCGTTGTTAACGTTTCTCGCTTGTTATTTTCGATGCCGTAATGCAACCGTTGTGTCCGTCGCAGGCGATGGAGGAAGACGAAGCGGAGGGCTTGGTGCCCTTCTTCGTGTCGTGCACCCTCGGCTCCACCGGCAGCTGCTCCTTCGACAACCTGGTGGAGGTGGGGCCCGTGTGCCGCTCCTTCCCCTGCGTGTGGATGCACGTGGACGGCGCGTACGGCGGCAACGCCTTCATCTGCCCCGAGCTGCGGCCGCTCATGGCCGGCATCCACTTCGCCGACTCCTTCAACACCAACCCCAACAAGTGGCTGCTGGTGAGCTTCGACTGCTCGTGCCTGTGGGTGCGCGACCGCATCCGCCTCACGTCGGCGCTGGTGGTGGACCCGCTGTACCTGCAGCACGACCACTCCGACGAGGCCATCGACTACCGCCACTGGGGCATCCAGCTCAGCCGTCGCTTCCGCTCGCTTAAGCTGTGGTTCGTCATCCGGCGCTACGGCATCACCGGCCTGCAGGCGTACATCCGCAATCACATTCGTCTGGCCAAGGCCTTCGAGGAACTCGTCCGCAAAGACGACAGATTCGAAGTGCACAACGACGTGAGAGTGAGTATCCCCACCTCCCCGCCTCTTTTACCAGGGAGACGAATGTTGATATTAGGTTAATTAAACCTTCCAATTTCCACTGTATCTCTAAATTCAATCTCTCTTCTCTTTTTTTTTCCAGTTGGGATTGGTGTGCTTTAGACTGAAAGGCACCGACCGTATAAATCAAGACTTGCTCGCTTCCATCAACGGTTCCGGTAAACTGCATATGATTCCGTCGCTTGTTCGAGGCAAATACATCATCAGATACTGCGTCGTGGCTGAGCATGCTTCTGACGCTGATATCGGTGAGTTTCTTATTAAATACCTTAAAACTCCTCAAAACGCCACAAGTCAATGTTATCTCGAGGAAAAAAACTTCCAAAAAAAATTTCTTTCTTAAACGATTATAATAACTATTAAATCAACGTACTCTCGTAATTGTTAATTCGTTTGTCTGAAATCTTGTGGCTGCTAACCCGCGGTGCATTTTCGAGTAGGAACGTTATGTAAACGCGCTCCTTTGTCCGCTCGCAGATCACGCGTGGGAGGTGATCCAGAAGCACGCGACGGAGCTGCTGGAGCCGTCGGTGGAGAAGGACGTGCCTGTGCCCGTCAAAGCCGCGCCCGTCATCCCGACGAAGCCCGACCCCTCGCAGCGCCGCCTGTCGCGGCGCCTCAGCTTCACCCGCAGCGTGTCCCGCGAGGTCTTCAAGCGCTCCATGTCGCGCTCCAGCCTGCACGACGGCGCCACGCCCATCATCGTGCCCGACGACGAGGACAACATCAACAGCGACCTCGAGGAGGACGTCTTCAGCACCAGCTGCACCATCGAGGACGACCGCCTCGCCATCGTCGAGGAGAAGGAGTGAACGCCGCCAGGCGCTCCCCGACCGCATTTACTCATCCTTTATTTATTGTTTCATTGTTCATCGTGGACGTAAAGTATTGTTGCATCGTATTTTTTTTATCATGTTGACTCTTTTATAGTGTACGGTACGAGAGAGAACACAAGACGAAATTTTTCACTATGACTGCATTGTTTAGTAAATTTCTCTTCTGGGACTGCGATGAGAAAATGTTGAAATACATTGCATCCCTGGTGGTGCTTACTTTGCAATCCAAAAAACATTTGTACATAGAATATTTTATACCTAACGTAATTATTTCCTCTTACTGTTCTCTGAATGTGTTCTCTCTGCATTTATAAGACTGAAGTTTTGTAGTAATGTTAGTGTTTTCCATGAACTTAAGACATTATTTTGCGTAGGACAAATGGTTTTATATTATGGTTTCTCAACAGTATTAAATTTTTATTAAGAGGGTGTTCCTCAAACTTGTCTTGCTTGTATAACTACTTCTATAATGTATGTGATGGACCTAGGATTCGCATTCCACTACTGAAATAGTGAATCTCTTAATGAAGTTTGTTGATAATCAATCTTATTTCTAATATGAAAGTTGCAACTACAAGTGCAAATTTTGTAAATAGTCTGACTTTATATATGATAAAAGAAAGCTCTTCAATTTTTAATAAAAATTAAAATAAAGAATAAAAGCATTTTAATGTTCCATACACTATCCCTTCTCTTCAACTTTTGTATGGGAGTGAGCAAGGAAATCTTAACCATTTTTTTTTTTCCTTTTCTGGAGGGGAGGTGCTAGGCAATTAGATCAGCATATCGTGGCAATTTTATTCAACATCTTAGCAAATTTTTGGAAGTGGAGGGATGGGTTCATTATTGTATGTATGCTTCCATTAAACTTAATACATTTCAAAGTATAAACTGAAAAAATGGTTCTCAAAATCTTGCCAGTCCTAAATTTTAGAATTTTTGGTACTTGAGTAAACATTAAGCAGGTGTACTAGCAGTGTTCCCTGTTCCTGTTTGTACCAGTACATCTGGCATCTCCAGATGTTTTAAGTGATCCAATTTTGATTCTTTCCTCTTTCATTGTTGACTTGGGCCAAAACATCTCTTCTGGTTCTTTCAAATCTATATTTTCATTTTTTAAAAGGGTTTCCTTTTCTGAATGTGGTACTAAAACATTGTCTAATTGTTTTAATACAAAATTATTTCCATTTATTCTAACAACTAAAAATTTTAAATATTTTTTCATTAATTTTGAATTCAATCTAAGATTATGAAGAAAATGCTCAAAGATCTGAACTATTTTGTAGAATAAAATTAAATTGGCTCTGTAGACTCTCGCCCACATGCCATCCACAACAGTGTGTCCTTCCTTCACTTAAAATTGGCTCTCAATATTATTAGGTGCAGTCGGCATCGACATCTAATTCCAACTTTAATTATCATGAATTTTAATACATTCAAATAAAATAAATTATAGCTCAATCAAAAAATTGTATTCATTTTCACTTCTTGCATTTACAAGAGGAAGGGGTTGCAAAGGAGAGGTTATGTAATTATTTAAGGGGATTCAATCTCACATTACGGGTGCATTACAGCAGGGAGAGGGGATATTCAAAACACTCGAAATTTGTGTTATGTAATTTATGGACACCCCTTAAGCTCACTTCGTTGCATTTATCCAAGATCTGAATTGTGACACTAGCATCCTTTTTGGTCTATTCCTGCCACTTAGGAAGCAGTTACGCTTCTCCTCCAAATATTTTTCACAAAGTTCATTTCAAAGACAAATATTTGGTATCAAAATTGATTTCAAAAGTAAATAAACTGACTAATCAAACTGATATATGATAGATTATAGTGTAATAATAAATATTGAAAATTCAAATGATTTCAGGAATTAATACATACAGCTACAAAAATTACAAATAAAAGAATAATCATAATTCTTGTCATATATTCAGTTTTTACTGACCAATGCCTCAACTTCCTATTCTGCTCAATAACTAAAGAAATTATGACACTATATAAGAATGTCACTTCTCTCTCCCTCCCTCCCTCATTCATTCCCTCCCTGCCTCTCTCTGTATACATGAACACACAACTTACGGTCTGTTACAATTGGTAATTATACATTTTTCCCCCTTAACACTGAGGGCAAAAAAATCTTTCAATTTATTAAATTTTGCATGTTATATGTGTTGCATAGGTCACATAAAAAGACAAATTATCACCAGAGTAAGAGAACATGTAAAAAATTGTACGGAATATCTCTCTTCACCAAATTCAATCTTATAACATTGGATTCACTTTGGCCACAATATTGATTTTTTCAAATGTCTCCATTCTTGATAAATAAATGATTTTTTTTTTTATTTATTACTTTGAAAATGATTGCATCTCTACAAATTTGCAAACTTAGAGCATTCCTGGCAAATTTTATTTAGTAAATTTTTGCATATTTTGCCATATCAAATGTTAACTATATTTGACATAATTCTTTTGGAAAAATCAGGACAAAATGGTAATAATTTATTAAAAATCAAACTTTATGAAATTAGTGAATTATTATCGTTTATGGAACTGCTCACCAGTCATCCTAAAGAATAGAGTATCCTCTTAGCCACAAAACTGTTGCCAAAGGATGTATATGTAGTATATTTTGCTTGTAAGTATTATGTGCAAGACCAAAGGTAAGACTGAATTTTGGCAAGGGGGCACAGGTTGGCACACTCAGTGTGTTTCTCTCTCAATTTATTGATTTTAGTAAAAAAAAGAAAAGAAAGTAAAAACTGTATGTAATGTTTGGGGAGATGGTCATTTGTGCATGTTTTCTTGTGGCCTAGAATCCCTTACCAGTATTTTAACTATAAATGTAGAAAGATGAAAAAAAAACACAATTGTTTGTTTTATTTATATTAATAATACAATTTTAAAAAGTGCAAGATTAGCAACATTTGAAAAACTAGACATTTTCGTTCCTGGATTATAGAAAACTTATTTGCAACGGTAAACGGTCGGGAAAGTGGGTTTTCAAGTGAGCGAGAGCTCATGCGAGGGCACCACCATGTGCTAGTTAGTCGTCAGTAGTGCCGTGTTAACGCACGAGCCCGAAGACTCCGGAACCAGGGCTCCGAGAGTTCTTTAAAAAAATATTTCATACATTTTTTTCAAAAAAATAAATAAAAAGTGTAGAAAAAGTTATGTGTGATTAAACTATACCCAAAAAATTGGCATAACGGAGTGAGATGTCGTGCAATATTGGATGATATTTATAATATGTAACTGCTGGTTGATGCGAGAAAGTCACTCCGTGATGAGTTTGGTTATTTTTTATCAAAACTTGTCTTTAAATTGAGGGAGTGGGAGATCGGAGAAAGTAAGAGGCCCCAAATTAATGTAGGCCCAAGGGCTCCTGAAGCTGTTAAATGACCCTGGTCGTCAGTAGAGCCTACGAAAGAAAGATCTAATATCGGGAAGCAATCCAGCATTCTAACATGGAATGCTGGATTGCTTGGATTGCATGGTGACATCGTGGAACTGATACGAGTGATTCTCTCTTGGATGGCTAGCCTAAAGTTAGCAGCACGTGTTTGAGAGTGCTTCAGGTTTGCCCAAGTGTTACAGTACCGTAGTCTAAGTAGAAAATTAAATAAACGGATATCAGCAGTCATATTTTATAGCATGTTTTAGGTATTTTTACTACATAAAAATCCAGGCTCTATTAACAATGTGTTCAATAACATTTATAATAACATAATTTATAAAATAAAACCTAATTAGTTTTTTTTTTTAAGGTTGATAAGTACTTATTTTCAGAGAAACTTGACACCGACACAGATTCTGACATCGACACCGCCACAGCCACCGACACCGACACAGATATAGACACAGAATGCTTCAGAGCCTACCTTCACAAATCAAACTCCATACTGTCCTGGGTGCGAACCTCGTGTCGAGAACGCCAAACATGGGTTTCTTCAGTGCCCACATTCCCAACCTCAACAAGTCACTGTTGTAGGGCTGATGTAGGGCTTGAGGTAGGGCTGATGAATCCAGAAAACCTAGTTGCTAATATGCTTGCTTCTGAAAGCAGTTGGAAGGCGGGGTGTAAATTTGCACAAGTAGTGCTTGAATTGAGAAGCCTGGAAAAAGAAAGAAGGGACAATCATGATCCCACTGGACAAACACCATGTCACGTCATGTGATTTTAAGGAGTTCTTTACATAATGCTTAAACAAAAAAGGGATGTACTATGTAATATCAAAACACGCTCTTATTTATAGATGTGAAATAGGGCCAAATACAATGTGACATCAATCCATCATCCATCCATGGTTTCGATTACTCTAAAAATATGTTGGCTGCACCGTTTACTCGATAAATGTAATAAGTGATGCGCTGTAGCTTCCTCGACTTTCATGTCAGTTTAGTGACTTTTGTTGAGTGTGCTGACATATTTCGCGGTGGCCGTCACAAAGTATTTAGTTGCAACTTAACTTCCTGGTTTCAAAATTCAGTATCAATCTTGTATACCATATTTACGCGAATCTAATGCTCACCCCATATTAGAAACTTAAAGTTATGAAAGAAAGATTTGTATTGAATGTAATGAGCATCAATGACTGAATAATAGGTACGGTATTGTATTTAAATGTATGTAATACAACAATTATGGTATACATAAACCATCATATTATAGAATTGGAAGTTTCTTAATATTATGTGACATATTGATAAAGAAGAAAATTACTGAACATGACGTAAGGAAAGCTCAATAATTTTCAAAATGAATTCATTAATACAATAAACTACAAGCGTGAATCATCGTTATTCCGTATGGAATGGATTTACCCTCGAAGCTAATGCGCATTACTATTTTGAGTTCTGCATTTGGTCAAAAACGTGCACATTAGATGCGCGTAAATACGGCATGTTGCTATATGTAAATCGTGTGGTTATGTTTATTATTTTGTGTAATTGGTAATAATTTGGTGTACATTAGTGATAAAATCGTTTGTGGAGTAAAATAGAAACTTGACATCTTAGGGTTTTTTTTTTCGTTCTTTAATATATGTATGTCTCGTCACTACGTAAAAATGTGACATCGTAGCAGGATATATACGAATTATATAGATGAGTCATTAAATATGGTAACATTAGATAACAAAAAAAGAATTCATTACTACGAGCGTTCAGCAGCCGAGAAGTTATTTCATGTAGCCCCACTGCTTATCATTTTACAAATTATTAAATAGATAGTTGTTTAGCAAACATATTAAAGCTACGGAGAAATGCATGGCAAGCATTGGAAATGACCTAAAAAAGAAGATTCACCGTCGTAAAAAGTACAAGATTTAAACAGGAAACTACCTACCCTAACCCTAGTTGGCAAACAATACATTAACAGGATTGACAGGAAATAGAAAAGTGAAAAAAACATTTGTTAATTTTTTTCTAGTCACTTAAGTATAATAGATTGGTACATATGTACTTGCTTCACGTTTCTATTTTGCTATACGTACGTTGTATTTTTTTTTTTTTTTTTTAATATCTACCCAGAAGTGAATACACTGCCACCCTTTATTATTCTGTTGGGGTCAGAATGGTAGGATAGAACTTTTTGCAAATTATTAGTTGAAATGCACTGAAGAGCCAAAAATCTGACGCACCT